ATGAAATACACCCAAACTTTCTTCGAAAAATCATCAATAAAGGTCACATAGTACAAAGAACCACCAATCGATGTCACTCTAGTAGGACCCCACACATCTGAATGTACATAACTCCAGAATTCCTTTTGTCTTCTTCTTCCCAGTCATGAAACTGACTTTTGTCTGCTTTCCCAGAACACAAAACTTGCAGAAATTGAGTTTGCAAGTTTTAACACCATGCAGAAGCCCCCTCTTATGTAGCTCAGTCATGCCATGTTCACTAAGATGTCCAAGATGCATGTGCCACAATTTTGTGCTATCTTCACACGACTCCACCGAATGGACTCCACCTACAACTGTACTTCCCAACAGTTTGTAAATGTTCCCTGCAGTGATCCTCCCCTTCATCACAGTCAAGGCACCCTTCACAATCTTAATGGTTTCCCTATCCTCATCAGCCTTGGGAATGAAACCATTTCTATGCAAAGTACCCAAAAAAATCAAATTCTTCTTCAACTCAGGGATATGTCTCACATCACACAATGTCCTAACAGTTCCATCATACATCTTGATTTTGACATCCCCAATACCGACAATACCGCAACATCTATCATCACCAAGAAAAACAGAACCCGAGTTGCCTGATTTATAAGTAGCAAACAACTCTCTGTTAGGCGTTATATGATATGAACATCCAGAATCGAGAATCCAAGCATCATCATACTGCGCAGTCGAAATAGATAACATATCTCCATCACTGCAATCAGATTCCTCATTCTGACCACATTCGAAGACTTGGATGACATATCAGCAGTCTGTTTCTTCCACTTTGGGCAATCCCGTTTAAAGTGCCCTTGTTCCTTGCATTTATAACACGTCACAGTTTTCCTCCCTTTCGATTTGTCTCGCGACTTGGATCTGAAATTCCAATTTCCTGAATTATCCCGCACCTGTTTCCTTCCACGATCCTGGTTACCCTTCACATATAAACTGTCACTTTGAGAAGATGACTCTCCAGATTTCTGCTTCCGCTGGTTGTGAGCCAACAACGCTGAAGTAATCTCCTCAGTCTTGATCGTTTCTTTCCCATATGTAAGGGTAGTCACCATATGTTCGTAAGAAGGAGGTAATGAACACAGTAAAATCATCGCCTTGTCTTCATCTTCAATCTTGACTTCGAGTGAAGCCAAATCCGTGACAACCTGATTGAAGATATTCACATGTTGCCCTAAATCGGTCCCCTCCTGCATCTTCAGCCCGTATAACCTCTGCTTTAGATACAGTTTTGTCGTTAGGGTTTTTGACATGAACTGCGATTCCAATTTCTTCCAGATCTCATCCGCCGATTTGAGATGCATAACGTGATACATAACTTCATCTGCAAGGCACAACCGAATCGTCCCGACCGCCCGTTCCTGCAGATCTTGCCAATCATCGTCTTCCATCCCCTTTGGCTTTTCTGCACGCAGCCCTTTCTGAATTCCTTGCTGCGCCAATAAATCTTTTACTCTCGTCTGCCATAATCCGAAATTGCCATGACCATCAAATTTCGAGACCTCGAATTTCGATACTCCCGTCATCTCCGTCGCCCAATCAACCAGGCTCTGATACCACTTGTTGAGAGAAGATGACAATATGGCACACGAATTAAAAAAACGAGAAAAGTACACAAGATTTACGTGGTTCGGCAATGTGCCTACGTCCACGGCGGCTGAGGGATCTTTTATTCTCAATCGTATCAAATACATCAATACACCATGTATTTATACTAAAACCCCTCCACTCTGCTCACTTCGCTCGGTCGCTCCGCTTTCCTCGCTACGTTCGCTCCGTTACGCTCGCAGGCATCAGCCCGCCCTCTTCTCCTTTGTCAATATATGAGTCATACCAACAGAATCCATTGAAAAATTCCAACGGAAATAATAGTATTGAAATATCCGTTGGAATTGCCGTTGGAATAATACTTTTAAAATAAATTTTCGTTGGAATTTCATCATTTTCTTGTAACAATTTTAATCAAGACATTTTCAAATATTTTAAACATCCTTAGAATTAAGATAATTTAAAAATAAACTTCAATCTAGCAAAACTACAAATAAGAATTATGTAATTAAAAAAATATTTTTGCAGATGCTACAAACTTTACAATCAAACTGACATGACCATTTTTATTCCCATAAAATAATGATTAATTAAAAATAAAAATTATTTTTGTAATTTATGCATTTGCCACACACACACATACATATATAAGCAAAAATAAATGAAAGGATGACATAGATAGATAAACAAATATAGTTACGATGATGCATATCAAAATACCATTATACTAAGTACGCAAATAACAAAAATTTTGTCTTCATTTCATAATAAGAATACAATAAACATATTTTTTTTTTCTTGTCGGGATTCTTCATTATACATACGATCGTATTTTTATAAACGAGTTTCAAATTGTTCGCATATAGCATGTGTTTAAAAAAAATAAATATTGTTTAATATTCAAAATATAACTTCGTGTAAATACTCCTTATATTATTTTATAAACATGGTATTTTAATATGCATCACAATGATTATAAAATACATATTCCATTTTGTTTCTTTTCTCTATCATCCTATCATTTATTTTTTATTATATATATATATATATATATATATATATATATATATATATATATATATATTTCAAATACATAACTATACACAAATATTTTTTATTTTTATATATCATTATTTTAAATAATAAAAATGGTTATGCCAGTTTGATTGAAAATATCTTTTTAAATGCTATTTATTTATATAACCTAAATATTTCGGCTAAGATATTATGAAAATATTAAAAAAGATTTTGTAAATCATAATAATAAGATTGAAATACCTTTCTTTTTCCTTTCAATTATGTAAAAATAGAAAAAAAAAAAAAAAAACCAAATTGGTTATGAAAAATTGGTTTTCCTTTCAATGTTGAAACATCTCTATATTTACCTATAAGCTAAATGATTTTGATATTTTGCCATATCAACCGCCACGCAGGAGATAACTAAACGAGCTGTATGATTAATAAGACACGTCGACACAACATATTTTTTTCGGGCCGGATTTGGAATTTTCGAATACAATTGTTCTACTTTTGATTGAGTTCAAAAAATATAAGACTAGTTTTGAGAAAAGGGTTAATTGCTAAATAAATTTTAACCTTTTTGCGTTTGACAATTATATCCAAATCTTTATGTAATTACAATATAATCTCGACCTCAATTTACTTATTGCAAGTCAAACCTAAAACTGGTTGGACCTTCAAAAAACTGGTCGATTTGAAGGCAATTCGAATAGATCGGAGCTCATATTTACTGGTTCACTCCAGATCTAGGAGGAACTCATCACCGGTAGCTTACATTGACGTGGAATATTCGGCTTTGTGCGTGGATATACATTAAATACGTAGAAATTGTCAATTTGCTACGTGAATGGCATAAAAACCCGTATCCATGGACGACTTAGACACAAAATCGATCCACAAATCCCTAAAATCAATCACTCTGCACCAAAATTTGCAACAAGTAAATTAAGGTCGAGATTATATTGCAATTACCTAAAGATTGGGATAAAATTGCCAAACGCAAAAAAGTTAAAGGTTTATTTAGCAATTAACGAGAAACACGTACGATTTCAATGAGACCAACATTGAAACACCTATATAATATTAATTCATAGGAGAGTGATTTTGATATATTTCCTAAGATTCATGCTGCACCACCCAATTTATTTGATAATTAGTGATTATATGGGTCAAGAGTGAAACCTATAATAAAATTATGGGAGAAATATAAGTAATTAATTCCACCAAATATATATACATACCCAAAAAGTAGTGTTAGGAGAGGAAAACTAAACAAAATTAACATCTATATATATGCATACATAGGTGAAGGATAAAAAAAAAAATGCTACGGTCCCGTTACGAAACCATGTCGTCGGAATTTGTAACCATTAGATCAACTATTCCTAACGGTTACATAATGATCTAACGGTCATATCCAGACGGAATGGTTCCGTAACGGGTTCGTAAAAAAAGATTTAGGATATTGGTGGAAATGCAAATAAATTAGGAAAAATAAAATAAACCTGAATTTGAGTTTGAAGACATCCATGTAGAGCGACAATGGTATAGCCAAAATGGCGAATAACATCTCCCAACTTGACATACTGTTGCCAGGGGACTCTGTAACACTGGCTTGAATGCCTTGGCTCCCAACTTGCATGCACTGCCTATTAATCCATCCATCCACCAAATCACATAAATAAATAAATGTGTACTTCTTATCAAAACTTATATAACTTTGATCATGTGTCTGTGTGTGTGTGTGTGTGTAATAAATAACATGATATACAAGCATACCAAGGTCTCGTCTGTCGATTTCGAATCCAGCACACTCTTATAGCCTTTGTAGATTGGTTCTTCCGAAGATTTATCTCTGTCCGCCTTCTGCTCGTCATTGCTGAAGTACTCATTCACACAAGCTGCATATATATCCATTAATTACTACAAGATTTAAGCCTCTCTTACAGTTATCGTTTGCTCGGAAATTAAACTCGCTATTTCTGAATATGAGTTTGTTTTACAGCCATGATGAGTATGAGTTTGAAAACAGTAAATAAATAAATAAAGTAGTTGTTATACAAATAATATACTGATACCTTGTATGGAGTATGCCAATCCCTCAAGCTTAGAGACGGAAGAGTTATGGAGATGTTGTCCCGACCAATTGGGGAACATAAATAAGCTCATGACGAGACAAACTGCACAGCCTATGGCTACTGTGTATAAGCGAGTGTGCGCTATCTGAAGCACGTTGTGGACACGATAACTGCTGACAGTAATCAAGTTGAAGGTCACGAGGAAAATCACAACTCCGTAGTCGTAATGTTTCTTTATGTAAGGGACAAATCTGATGTATGTAGCTGCTGCTCCTGTATTTCATCACAAACAAAAGAACAAAAACAAAAGGATCTCATCTCAATCAAAATCATACACTAATATATTATTCTTGTACGTAATAGTAAAACCGATAGATTATATTTCTTACGTACCGATAGCAAAAACTGCGATCCCAATGAAAATAGCTTGGAAAACCCGACCCGACTCTTGAGCGATGAAGTCCATGAGAAAAGCAAGCGATCCAGCTAGCAATGTGCCAAGCCCTCTATTAAAGCCTTTGCAAAGTGTTGCCCCTATGTATATATATATATATATATATATATATATATATATATATATATAAATGATTGTATCATATGATAGATAGAAATTCAAATTAATCAAACACAAAGTAATTGACTTAACTAATTAATTAAGTATAAATATGTTATATTCATTAGAGAGCATTTAGGTAGCTAGCACACCAGCAGTGAAGTCGAGCACTAGGACGACTGTTATGACAGCCCAGATTGCGTTCTGACCGATACCTTTGAACAAAGGCTCCATGAGATACAATAGCGAAACCAATGTAAGTGAAAGCCCTACTTTGAGTGCATGGATAACCCGTCTTTGGTCTTCTTTCCCAACCTCATAAATCGTCCTCCAAATCGACACCACCCATCGCATTGTTCTTTTCTTCATTACATCAACACTGCTATTACCAAACTCCATTTTCATGCAGCACCAAGACTTGTGTGCCACAAAAAACAGTATGTGTACAAATATAATATAGTTTTTTTTTTTT